TATTGAGGTAACCTTTTGGGCTTCCTAGGTGGCGCTAGTGGTAAAGAACCCGCCTGTCAGTGCAGGAGATGTAAGAGATGTAGCTTCCATCCCTGAGCCAGGAAGATCCCCTGGAGAAGGGGATGGCAACCCACTCCAGTATTCCTGCCTGGGGAGCCCCGCGGACAGAGGAGCCTGGTGGGCTACAGTCCATAGTATTGCAGAGTCGGACATAACTGAACGACTTAGCACCGCGCAGCATTCACTTACTCCTGGCGCCTCTTCATCCCTTCACAAGGCTGACGTGCCCACCCCAGCTGCTGTGGACGGTGGTTGCTCACGGCCCACAGCTGCTGCTCTTCTCTGGAGACAGTCTCTCCTTGGCCGATGCCGTCGCACCCAGAGACGGTGGGTGGTCGCACCTCCCTGCCCCTCTCCACCCCTACCCAGCCGTCCACAGTGATCACTGACTGTCAGCAAGGCTCTAACAGCCTGGCCCCCACTGCCAGGCAGGACTGCTCTGCTTGGCTTTCCAGAGTTCACAGTGGGATTGATTGAAAAAGCCCGCATCTTTGTTAGACTTTTCATCTGCCTTATCCTGCATCCCTCGTTCCCATGCAGCTTTCACCTGAGAACATTCCCTCACTAAGTCACATGCCCAAGAAGCCCTGCATCAGGCTACGCTGCTGCAGAACCCAGCCTGAGACTCTGGCTTATCCGGGAGATGAGCAGAGAGCTGGTTGGTTCCATTGTCAGAGTGTGAAGGTGCCACCTTCCTCGCTGCCATCAGAGCAGATGCCAGCTTAATTTCGGGCACAAAGAAGCTCCTTCTAGAATGAGGCTTATTTGCCCAAATATGATCCTTTTACATAAAAAAATTAAAAGCAAAAATTCTTCAATGTCTATGCTTTGGATTTCAGTTGGACTTTTTCACAAAAAATGCTTACTCAGTACAGCCTGGGATTCTTAGAAGTTTCCTACTAATGAGAAAGAGTCTCTCCTCCCCACAGTACTCTTACAGAATGATCTAACTACTCTAGAAAATTACAATTCTGATGTTCACTCTGTTTCAATTCTTTCTGCCAACATTATGACTTTGAAACTCTCGAGTTCCTCTTGGAGCTAATTATCATAATTTCTGTAAGTGGATTAGAATGCCCTTTCCTTTCTGAAAAAATCTGCTCATATAAACGTTCCAAAAAATGGAAGCTTTGGATTTCATTTTTTAGGACTTTTGTGGAGTGGTTTGATCTGAGTGCCTGAATGGGGAATAAACAGAAACGGGTAAGGGTAGAGAAGTGGCCTTCCCCGGCGTGTTTTGTCTGCTGTGTATTATTCTGTCTCCAGTCGAAACGGAGTGTCTGAAAGGGCTTGAATTCTTTCTGTGGAGGCATACCCTGAGATACTTATACTAAAAAAAAATTATTCATGTCCCATACAATACTTAGGGCATGCTTACACTAAAAACAATTGGTTCTTTATCTGAAATGTAAATTTAACTGGGTGTCTTGCATCTTTCTGGCAATCTCAGACTCAACACCTTCAGCCCAGGGCTTATGAAAACGTGATAGGAACCCCTCTGCACTCGCGTGTTAGTAACCCAGCCCCACTGCGCCTCCCGTCCATACAGTGAGACCGCTGGGGAGGGGACAGTCATCACTGGCAGCCTTGTGGATAGGATGTCATGGGGAGTGAGAGGGTCCCCCTCTCTCCACACAGTAGGGAGCAGGGCTGTGTTTTTCTGTCCAAAGCAAAGAAGGCGTTGAGTTCTTGAGCGCACTTGCATGGGGTGGAGGTACTGCTCTGCACGATAAAGAGATGTTTATTCTCAGGTGGTTATTGCTTGGGCAGTAGCCTCGCTGCTCAGCCCCTGTGCCCACGAATCAGGGGACCAGAGCCCAGAGGCACAGGGAAGGGTCAGGGAAGCTGGCGGTACTTCTGTCATTTGGCAGGGAGGAGCTGTTTTAGAGGAGATGTTACGCCAGGTACCTGCCCTTAGCCTGGTGTCCTGATACACCAGCCTGGGACTGCCTGCCCGGTGAGGGGACCCTGGCAGAAGAGGCTGTGAGGCTTTTGGGTGGTACTCTAGGAGGGTGGAGATGCGGCTGGACCCCCACTTCAGGGTACTGCGGGGCTGTGAGAAACCCCACGGCTCTGCAGAGGAGTCACCCCCGTGTTTATAAGCACCTGACTCGTCTTGCGGGGGAAACATGAAGGCCAGAGGAGCCGCCATGGCCACAAGAGGAGGTGGGTCTCTGGGGTCAGGGAGGTGACGACGTTCTGCTCCTCCTCTGCCTTCTCCTTCTGTTTTTCAGTCCAGGAAGCTCAGAAGAGGTAGAACCTAAGAGGGTGGGGGTTTGAATGTGTGAAGCATGACCCCTGCCCAGACATGTGCTCTCTGCCTTCAGCCACAAATCCAATGCGGAGTGGGAGGTGGAGAGCCTGGAAGTGCACACGAGATTGAAATTTAAGACTGGTTCAGACCACCTTTAATAATGAAAATTGACTAAATTGTTTGGAATCTCCCCAAGATGATGTTAAGAGACAGAAAATGTGGATTTGATAAAGCGGGGATAAAAGTAGAGATGGGAAAAAAATAGAACTTTTTTATGTCTACACTCTGATGAGAAAAGGCACTCAATAAACCAATCCCATCTAGCAAAGTGGAATCCAGGAAGTGTAGAGTTTCCCTGGTGATGTGACAGCTGGACTCCCAGACTGGTTTGATTGCCCTAGATGTGCATGAGGTGAAGAGGCACCCCTGCCACACTGGAGAAGCCCCAGGGATTCTCCTTCCTGAAGACACACAGCTGAGCCCAGCCAGCACCCAGGGAACGGGGAGGGAGGAGGCGCCTGAGACCCACACCCTCAGACCGAGATGAGGTCTGGATCTTAGTTTGAAAGTATGCGAGTGACAGTTGTATGAACGAGGGTGACTGTTAAAATGCGAGCGCAAACGCTTTCTCATAACCCATAAAAATTTTAAGTTGGTAAACGGGACCAGTTATCATTCAAATCATCTTTCTTTGACATTGGAAGTTTTACAGCTTAGATCTAACACAGCCTTGAGTATATGTACATATAAATACCTGCACGTAAAAATGTGGCTAGTTGGAGGAGTTCTGATTCTCTTCCAGTTCTGATTGCATCCTCATGAATAAAAGTTCTTTGCTGGAAACGCCATCTACAGCTGTGCTGATGATGTATGAGGCAGGGCTGGGCCCGGTTCACATTTCCAGGCTTGCATTTGCCCTGCGGGGCTCAGCAAGCTCAGAACTTGCATATGTCGGTGAAATGGGAGCCCAGACACATGGCTGCTGCTTGGAAGTGGAGCTGATTAAGGAGCAGGCTCTGCTTTTCCGTTGTCAGTTCCAGTCCTGGCTTCTAAGCACCACTTTCTTCAGTCCCTTTTCACCAGACCTAATATATTGCTTTTCTTGCTGCAGAAGCTGTCAGAAACTTGTTTCTTTCTTACTAATCCGTGCTTTTTTACAAGCATGGGTCATAATATTCTTATTGATCTTGCAAATCTGAGCTTGCCATGACTAGTGCCTTCCCACCTACCATAATCACTGAAGGCACACGGGCTGTCATAAGTTTGCAAAATTTGAGGGAAAGAGCCAGTATTTTACAGTCTTAGTTGGACTGAGTATTGAGGTTGAAAGCAAGGTTAGCAAAGTTCTCGTATCTTTTTTTTCTGGCTGGTTTTGTTAGGGTAATTTTTAGCAAAGGATTGTCATTAAATGACTTCTATCTTTTGTGGCCTCGTGCCCTTGAGAAAATTATTTAACCTTTTTGTACCTTAGTTGTATCATATTTAAAGAGGATAATAATAGTGTCTACTAATATTAAATGGCTTTTTATCAGTCTGCATGGATAGAGGAGCCTGGTGGGCTACTGTCTGTGGGGTCACAAAGAGTCAGACACGACTGAAGTGACATAGCACACACTCATATCTGGGTGTAAGGGTTTCCCTGGTGGCTCAGTGGTAACAGAATCTGCCTGCCAGTGCAAGAAGTGCGGATTTGATCTCTGGGTTGGGAAGATCCCCCGGAGAAGGAGATGGCACCCCACTCCAGTATTCTTGCCTGGGAAATGCCATGGACAGAGGAGCCTGGTGGGCTATAGTCCCTGAGGTTGCACAACTTAACAACTAAACAACAATCTAGGTATAAACATAGGTTTAGATACAGCTCTAGAAGTACAGATGCAGGTAGAGCCTTAGATTTAATCCTAGCACATAGAAAACTCTTACTATTACTACCACTTATGATTATGAGTTTTCAAGATAAGAGGCAGTGTTGCATAGTGGAAAGAGTGCATGTAGGTTTTGGGGGAAATTACTTTTTAAGGCATGGCTCTGTCACTTACTGCCAGGCCTTGGTCAAAGTGAAGGACCCCGCTGGGCCTCAGCGGCTGTACCACCAGATGGGCCTTTGGTGCAGAATATCCAATAAGGACAGTGTGGAGTGAATAAGGTAATGTGTACAAAGCACCCGGTGCAGCCATTCTCAGTATGTGTTAGCTCCTCCCTCCATTCTCAGAGGCCAGGGTAGCATCACGCTTTGAATGTTCATGCCTATTTCTTTGTCCTGATGTTTCCCCCATCTCCTCCCTCGTTTTGAGAAGATAAAATGCATGATATCCCTGCACTCAGTTCCCCCTAGTTGTCCTCTGTGCAGGGATGAACATACACCGACACCCAGTGATGGAGCTGAAATGACTCACCTTGTCTTCCAGCATCAGCTGAGTCTGGCAGATTAGCTGAGTGAACACGCGTGCCCGTGAACGTGTGAGAGGGATCCTTTCTCCCTCTCAGGACGTCCAAGTGGAGGAAACAGTCCGGGCCATGGCCAAATCTGACTCCGCGAGGTCTGAGCTCAGGGACCTTCCTGGTTGGAGGAAGCACCTGGGCGGCCTGGAGGGTGAGAGGCTCGACCACGTGTCTATTCTCTGCTCGAGGAGCTGGGGCAGGGGAAGGGGGTGTCAGGCCACCTTGTGTCCTCCGCTCTCCCCCTCAGCCCTGGCTACACACTGCAGTCACCCAGGGAGCTTCGGAACGTCTCCATGCCCAGGCTGCCCCCAGCGCAGTCACGTCTGAGTTTACAGAAGACACAGGTAATTCTGACATGTGGTTACGATGGGGGACAGCCGCCCTCAGCTGCGACATGTAGACCTCCACACTCAGGGAAACGCTTTCATAATCACAGTGCCCCATAAGGGACCTGCTCATTCTGTTAATGTGTGGTAATTGTTCTTGCTTTTTGTGTTACAAACCTATTTTTTAAATTCTAATGCATTTACTGAGGTACTGGTTTACATAGAATTCAAAAAGCACCTATTTTAAGTGTATAGTTCAATAAATTTTGACAAATATACACCTACACTGAAGAATGGCAGAAGATGCCACACCAAAATATGCCACTTTGGCATAAGGATGGAGTTAAAGGCACTTGAATACCAGCAAAGACAAGAAAAACACTCTGATCCTCCTCCTTTTTCTCAAAAGTAGGAGATAACATTCCCATGTGAAAGATGTCCTTCTGTTACTAACTAGGGTTGTTGTCCTCCTGAATCAATGGAAATTGATCAGAAACCAGACAAGAAATTCAGGCAAGGTTTTACTGGGGCCCCTGCTGCAGCAGAAGGGTGAGGATAAGTAACAGGTTCCCTTGCTCACTTGCTGCCTGAGGGGGAGGCAAGCTAGTTCATTATGTGGGGTGAGGGTAGGGGTGTGTCCAGGGGTTGGGGTGGAAGGGTGGCTTAGATGGCTGCCCAGTCCTTGCTAAATCATTTCAGTCATGTCCAACGCTTCGTGACCCCGTGAACTGTAGCCCACCAGACTCCAGGCAAGAACACTGGAGCGGGTGGCCATTCCCTCCTCCAGGGGATCTTCCCGACCCAGGCCTTAGATGGTGTTGTGTGCGGGGGGCTTGCACTGAACCCTGCTTTTGCTCCCAACCCCTTGCTTTTGGTCCAGGCGCTTCAAAATGGCTGTTGGGTTTGTAGTCTTCTTGTGTCTTTTGTCCAGAATTTGCCCAGCTGCGCGTGCAAGGAGTTACTCTTAGTGCATAGGGTTTCTCTGTGTCCTGTTGCCTAAGGAGAGGCATGAGGAGAGCTGTGTCCCGGTGCAGGCATTGCAGCCCTGCAGCAAAGGGCCCTGAATCCCAGCCTGTCTCACTTCCTGTAGGATGAGGAAAGTAACGCTCTTATTGGCAGGGGAAGTTGAGACCGAGAGGCTTCTATAAAATAGACCTTGTTAATGTTCTTACTGTCCCCTAGCTTCCCCACATAGTTTAGTTACTTTTGCACATTGCCTCTCTTGTTCAACCTGCTATAAAAGCCTGTAGTTCTGCCATTTCTTTGGGTCTTCATTTCTTACAAGGGCTCCCATGTCACGTGAAGTTTATAATAATTTGTCTGCTTTTCTCCTGTTAACCTGTCTCTGACGTCAGTATAATTCTCGGGGCCAGCCAAAAACCCCTGAGAGGGTAGAGTTAAAAATTCACCTTCCCTGCCACACTCGTGTAATCAGCACCACAGTCAAGGTGTGTGTTTCCATCGCCGGAAAGTGGCCCTGCGCCCCGCTGCAGCCAGCCCCCTGCCCCGCCAGTCCTGGCCAGGAAACTTGTGTTTGACGCCATCGTCAGAGGCTCGAGTCAGGAGTGCACAGTGGGCACTGTTTGTGTCTGCAATCTTTTGCTCCGCAAACTTTCTGAGACTCATCCATGTCGTTGTCTGTAATAATAAGCAGTTCTTTTTTTTTTACTGCTAAGTTGTAATCTATTCTGTGAATATTTTACTGCTTCTCACTCATTCGCCTCTTGGTGGACATTCACAACCTAACTTGGAGCCATTTTTTGGTTGTAATTCTCTCCCCACATTTCCTCTCATTTCATTTTACAATGAAAACAGGAGAGTTGATATTTCACCAGAGCCAACATTTTCTATGAATTCCTGCGTTAGGCTCAGGCAGTGTACTCAGTGGTAGCAGGGCACATGGTCAAATTGCTCTCCCTGGTATACAGTGGGCTCACCCAGCCTCACCATCTGTTTCCCTGAGTGCTCAGAGCGAGCCCTTGGCTTCTGTGACCAGCTCAGGGATGCTGATTCTGGGCTGCTACTTATTCCGTCATAATCAAGCTCAGTTATTCACTAAGAACTTAAGTGACTCATTTCATAATCTTTCTTTGGCTTCCTACACTTAACTTCTGCATTTTATGACATCCCAACAGACTGGACATGTCCAGTTATATAGCTGTTTCATAAAGCCCTTAAAATATCTCCAAGCTGCCAATTTATACCCCCGAGTTAGTTTTATAAGAAGGCTGGTCACACAAATACACACATTATATATGCATATATGAAAAGTACATTATACATATATAAACTTTTCAAGATTAGGAAATTCAGGCTTTGCCAAGAAAATCTCTTTTAAACAGTTTTACTGGCTGCATGTGTATCTTTTGAGTAGTTGACAGTGTTCTGTAAAGTTAACGTTATACTCACCATATGATCTGTTTATCCCTCCAAACCTATATGTGAATGATTACAGAAGCTTTATTTGTAATTGTCAAACACTGGAAATGACTTGGAGGTCCTTCAGCTGGCAAACGGGTGACAGACTATGGTGTAATCATACAGTAGAGTTCTGCTGGCCAAGAGAAAGGAGCACACCATGGAACAAGCAAGTGTGGATGAGTCTCTGTGTACTGTGCCGAGTGGAAGGGCCTGATGCGGTCCGTCCTCCCTGTTGGGGTTCTTTGTCCATGGACACAAGTGCCCACTGTACGATATCATTGTACATGAGGGATTTCAGCATCCACAGACACAGTATCTGCCGGCATCCTGGGGGGGCTTCCCCGGTGGCTCAGTGGTAAAGAATCTGCCTGCTGATGCAGGAGACGCAAGAGATGTGGGTTCAATCCCTGGGTCTGGAAAATCCCCTGGAGGAGGAAATGGCAACCCACTCCAGCATTCCTGCAGGAAATCCCATGGACAGAGTAGCCTGGCGGGCTCCCGACCCTGGGGTTGCAGGGTGTTGGACACGACCCGACACACAGACACACAGGGGCTCCTGGGACCAATCTACCGTGGACACCATGTGAGGATTGTATGCAGTCTCATTTATATGACATTCTAGAATAGATAAAACGGGAGGATCAGAGGACAAATTAATAGTTGCCAGGGTTTAAACGATGGGAGTGTTTGAGTGTAGGGGGACAGTATAGAGGAATATTTGGAGGTGAGGAAACTGGTACCTCAATTGTGGTGATTGTTATACAATTCTAGGAATTTGTCAAAAGGCATAGAATTGTATATTCCCTGGAGAAGTGCATTTTTCTGTATGCACCTTTGAAAAATAAATTTTTAAATGGCAGCCTAAGTTGCTCTTTTTCCCTCAGCTATATCCTAGCCGCACAGCCTCCCTGTCTTGTCATTAATTCTATAGGAGCAGGAAACTGGGACAGTGGAGGGAGAGAGAACTGTTAAGTCCTGAGTCGCTGGCTTAGCAGGAGTGCCACTGTGTACTGTCTCTCACGGGGGTTTATGAGGGTGAGGTGGGCCTGGATATCTGTCCATGATGTATGTGCTGAGTGTGCTGCCCTGCGTCTTTTTGAGGAGGTAGAAAAGAGAATTCGAGATTGCAAGGTGGAGAGAGAGGGCAGGCACAGAATGTGACCGCCTTTGATGTGACAAGGAGAAGTGCGTCTGCCGTGAGTGTGGCTGGATTGTTTTCCTGCCACTCATCCATGAGGATGTCAGTCAGGCAAGGATACGTCAGTAGCAAGAGGCTTGGGTTCTGACAGTATGAAAGGGACTTTGAACAGATGAGAAAAGGGGAATAATGGTGCAGTAGCTTCTAGCTTCTGTCACTGGCAGAAGCAGTGGCAGGGTGACAGCAATGGATTAATCAGAATACGGGCCACAGGTAAAGAAAAACAAAGGGTGGTTAGTCTCCTGTTTTTCTAGATTCCTATTAAACACCCAAGTAGAGAAACCCTGTATGCAATTAAAATCCAGATTTGGGGTTTAGAGGAGGATTGGGCAAGGGGGGAGATGCAGAATGGCTTAACTTTGAGCATCAAGCCATGATGACAGGCTTCAGGTAGGAACAGCCCGCCTTGTCTCAGCCACACTGACCCTGCTCTCTCCCCCTTCCCGTCCTCCCCTGCGCTCCCTCCTAGTGCCAGGCAGGAGAGCCCAGGGCCCTGGGCAGAGACCTGGGACACAGGACGGTTCTGATGGGACCGCTCATCCTTTACAACTCCATCTGTGGTCACCTTTCTCTCTCCTTTTTTGCCAGATTGAATATATGAAGTTTTGAAATAGATTGGATTTTTTAAGTGGTCAAGCAATTGAAAAGCTTAGCATCTGTCCAAGATAAGCAACAGGAAGGGAGATTCAACAGATAATGGCCAAAGAGAATGACTTGGGAAAAAAAAACTCACATCATTTCCCACTTATGCCTGGCCAAGTCAGAGTGTTCAGCAGGTGTGCTTTGGCAGAGAGTTTCATGTCAAGTGCCTTGAGAACACGCAAACCACAGCAGCTAAGAAGCAGCCCTCCTTTCTACCGCCCCCAGTTTAGAACATTTTAGAACACCTTTGTGCCCTGGGATCCAATCCCAGATATAGAGCATGTATCGTTGGCCAAGGGAAGTTGCAGGATCGATTCCCCCTGGCAACATTTTGGAGGCAGTATGTCAGGGCTCTAAACCAGATTTGCCTTTGACTTTTAGGACACAAGATAATACGTGGGTGATGTTTGTTTACCCAGCAAATGTCAGTTTTGAAATGAGTTGAAATGCATTGCATGCCCACAGTGATATCTTTGGATGTACCTTGGCTTATGAAATTTCCATAACCATGTAAGAAAGGATGGTGATAAGAAGGTAAAAACAAAGTAAAAAGATAAAGTAACTACCCCATGCTACATAGCAGATAATATCATTTTTGGATTTTTTCTTACTTTACAAACTGCATTGCTCTACAGACTAAGAGAAATAAAGCCTCAGATCTCCTTTATCAGCCTGTTTAAAACAACACTGACAATAACGTTTCCTTTCATCTGCTCCCACCTCTGATCTGCCCCCTCGCCTCACTTCCTTTCTTCAT